TTGGATAAATTATTATTTTCTATGAAACGTGTAATTTCATCTCTTGTTTGACATTCATTTTTATGTCTTGCAGTTGATTTCGTTGATGATTGGGTCCAATGATTTCTGTCAGAATATGTGTGAAGGTCCTTCTCCATGGTCTATGTTAAAAAAACATAAAATTGAACTAATTAACACTCTTAGAATATTGAAAGATAATTTGCCAAGAACTTTCGTTGCTCTTATCCCACCACCTTACCTAAAACTACTTGTCGAATATCATCGACAACATGTGTGGCTGTGCAGAACGATGTCAATCATTGAATGTCCGTGTTTATTTTCTTTGAAATTTCAACATCAAAAACTGGAATATTATGAAGTAATAAGAAGGTTTGTACAAGTCTTTCCTAATATTTAACGTCTCATTATGTCACTTGCAAGCATTTTATTATAACATACTTTACATTTTTAATTCTCAATTAAAACTTGTAATATGATTATCAGATTTTTCAGTCAAGAAAGAGATTTCGTTAAAAAGCAAACAGTTTGTCTGAAGTGTCGCAATTCTTTAATACTTTCCAAGTCATTTGATATCATTTCCAACACCAACATATGTATGCAGATATAACTCTTTTAGGTGGCAAGACTTAGAAATAGAAATCGCTAGTTATCCAGAATTTTATAGAGATGACTTTACTGTGGAAATATTACCATTTCTTAGAAATTCTACTATACCGCTAGACAAGGATGGATATCAAGATATGTCCTATTTTGCTGTTGATTGCTTTCATTGGAGTCAAAAGTTTCATGCAAGATGTAAGTATTTACAGATGAACTGTAAAATGGTAGGTAAAAACTGTCTCTTATGTTTCAAGATGCAAATGGTATATGGAACAATTTGTTAGAACCAGCCGATAACAGGACTATCTTTTCCAAAAATATATTTGAAAGATTCTTGTGCCCTACTTCTAAGAGTCCATACTTGACGACGCATAAAAATCGACAAGAGATTAACAAAGCTCGAGATTAAACATAGCTCCTCTATATGTTTTTTTGGTTTGTTATTCAATTAAAGATTTTTCTATTACAATCCTTTACTAATGTATATATTTATGTATAATTGATAAAAAGAAAGTTATTTTTCTACGCTTGTTCGTTCTTGTATATCATAATTTTTTTCAAGTGATGATATCGACGGTGGTGAAAAGACCTTCAGTTAAGTGCAAGAGTACATGCAGATAATGTGAGACTCGACAAGCAGTCTTATCCGAGAGATGCTCACATTTAATTGTCTGATGTAACAACATCCGAGACAAACAAATGAGGCATTGTAGTATTGCTGCTTCAACATTTAGTATTTACTGCTTCAACATTTAGTATTATAAGCGAATAAATTATCCCGAGGCATTTTCGTGTAATGTCACGTCGCATCGTGCATAAGACCAAAAGAAAATCAGATTTTAATTTCGAAAAATACGAATTCCTGAGCATAAAATTTTGAAGGGACGGAGAGGTGAGAAACAAGACCCGGCTACAGTACATTATAATCCATACCAGAATTGTGCAGGATTACAATTAAATTACTTCATGGATTATAATTATAAAATAACTCAATTACATCGTATTTCATTATATTGTAATTTGCAATTTAATTTTTTCATTCAATTAAATTACAATGTAATTCAAATATCTTACTCAATTAAATTACGATTTAATTCGTTTTTACAATTGGATTACAATATGCAACGTATTTGAATCGGAATTAATATATAAGAGGTAGGAAGAGAAAGCGCAAAACAAAATTCAAATATAATAAAATTTGGAAAATGACGATTTGAAAATTTTTCAAGGGGGGAAAAATTAATATCAGTGCTATTATTTATAAATTCATATTATGAGCAGAAATAAACTGTTTTATTACATTCTTTTTGAACAACAAACATAAATTTAAAAAGAGAGATAGGTACCTTCTTTAGCTAATTTACAATGTATATTAAAGGAAGAATTACTAAATGTTGTAAATAAATGAAATGATGTAATTAATAAAAAAATTAATATGAAAAATTAAATGAAGCATTACTTAAAAAAGAAAAAAAAATTGAAAAGTCAATATAGAAATAAAATGAAGCATTATGCAATAAAAAAAAATGTAGAAAAAACAATGTTCTTAGATTTTTACAAATTATTTGTAGCACCACATTGATTGAAGTTATCAATTTGATAACAATTATCAGCTAATTTAAAATTGATTTTAATAAACAAATTTCCTTCAAATATTTTATCATTAAGGTTGCTTAATTTTGGGAAATTGGTCGTCGTCGCCTAAAAAAATATATTCTACCAACTTTTTGTCTACATCTCGTATGAAAACGTGATTTTGAAATGACTTTTATTTTCTCAGCGTCAACTTCGTGCAATGCCAACGATCTCCATTGAAAAATTGCATAGTAAGATAAAATGACTAAATTTGAAACTCGTAGAATGATTAAATACGAAACTCATAAAACGCGAATAAGATAAAAATGCTGGTGTCTGCATGGAGCGAATGTGCTGTTTGGCTGCAGTCACTGAAGGATTAGCTCGGAAAAATAAAAAATAAAAAAATGGTGAAATTTATGTTTAAATATTGTCGTAAATTCCACTTGCATAATTTCTAAAATTTTTCTTATGGAAATCATAATAGGGAGAAATACATATTATAAGCTTTTAAATGCCAAGATAATAGTTTATTAAATAGAATTTAATAAAAATTTATAAACAATTTTATACAATCACTTTTTCAGTTTCTTTTTTAAGAAGGCTTTCCGCTTTTTCTCCAAGGCCTCCATACGCATGTCTTCCAAATCTTCCATCATACCTAAAAACAATTTTATTACTTTTGTAAATAATTATAAGGAGCAGAAAGACGTACAAGATACTATAAAAGATTAGCATTACCTATTTTAGTAGATACATATTCTTCTTTGAGTTGTTGCGCAAAACTGCTTTCCATAGCTGTGTCATCATCATTATCCACATGTTTATATTTATTTTTATCATAACCGAATATTTCACTTATATATTTACTATAATCTTCATTTTCATCTTCTACTTCATCATCAATAAAATCTTCAAGTTCAGAGTCATAGTCTTCTTCTTCTTCGTCTGTTATACGACCTGTACATTTAAATGTATAAATTATTAAGTATATTATTCTCCTATTCAAGGTAATAAATTATTGCCTTGTCTTTCTTTTCCTATTTCCACATTCTAATTCATTTTAAGTTTTCCATTGGCTTATCTTGCACAGAATATCTTAAAAATATTTTAAAGGTGCGACTATCAAGGTTAAAAATATAAAGATGTAGCTGACTGATTCAGTTGACTTAGAAACCAAATCAATTGAAGCATATACAACATTATATACAGAGCAGTTAACTCAGTTCGCTATTCACACTCTATCTTGATTTAATTTAATCATCAACTGTTTCAGTTTTCTTCCTCGATTTGTATTGTTGATTCTACTTATTGCATTTCTTATTTCACATTAAATTTTTTTTTTAATTAGTTTTCACTAACAATAAACATGTAGCAAATTGGTCTTTTGATACCATTCATGTTAGGCGAAAAATATTTTTTGCATCATATTAGAAAAGATATTTAGGTGGCCTCAGTTAAATGATTCACCCTGTGTATGCATATGTATATCTATATATCTCGATACATATAACTATATATATTTATTTTCTAAATATTCATTTTATATATTATTAAATGATATAATGCTAATTATCAATTTTAATATTATTGTGAAGTAAATAATTATAATAACAATTTTCTTTTCCTGTTTAAAGTTTCTTTCTCTTACATGAGCAAAACTTCCACAATCTAAACAAAACAGCTACATCACATATTCCTTAATATTGGCTATATATGTGTGTATATGTTGTTATTATTAATGAAAATGCCAAATTTAAAAGAATGATATTAAATTAGAAAAAAAGTTTTCAATTATTAAGATATTTACTCTTGTACAATAATTAATTACCTTCTCTAACTTATAATTAAATAAAGTAAAAATACAAAATTTCTTACGTTTATTATTCAATGGCTTCTTCTGTTCCTTCAAATGAGGTATATGTCTAGATTTGATTGGCTTAAGATCTGCTGGTGGAAATTGTTTTATTTTATCGTTCATTTTTTGTGGTACTCGAGATTTTGTTGCGTTAGTCGTTGGAGATTCTTTCTGTATATTTTTCAATAAATCTTGTTTCTCTGAGGTTTTCACTTTTGATATCGACTTTTCAGTTTTCGGATTTTTCGTATCTTCAATTTGAGTTTTGGTTATCTTTAATTTCTTCTTTTCTTCTTCAATAGCTTGTCGCATTTCTTCTAATTTTTTCCTCTCGCTTTCCAATTTTTTCCTTTCCTCTAAAAGCATATCTCTCTCGGATTTATTTGTTGTGACTTTATTAGGATTTATTGTTGTGGCTTTATCGACAATTAATTTTTTAGAAGTTGAACATTGGTATCCTGTTGCTTTCGAAGGAATTTTATTCGATACTGCAGGTACTGTTGTCAACTTTTCAGGTACTTTTGATGTTTTGTTGGAACAATTGGCAGTATTACGACAATCTTGTGTTTTATTCGGTTTGTTAGTTGTACTAACATTTCCTTCCTTATTATTTATACTACCTAGTTTATTTCGCTGTTCTTTTCGTTCTCGCCATTCTTTTTCTTTTGTATATTCTTTCATTTGTTTTTTTGTCATCAACCTCTCTGGTTCATCATTTTTTGACTTAACGTCAATAACAATCGGTTCGTGTTGTTTCTTTTCAGCAATTTTTAGAAGTTCACTGAAATCAATTGGTGGTGGCATAGGTTTCCTCTTAGCTTTCGGTTTTTCATCTTTAACTTCTTTTTCAGTTTTTTCTTCTACTTCTGTTTCTGTTCCTTTTATAGAAATTTTCCTTTTTCGACGGTTTTCTTGTTGCGAGACTTCTTGTTGTTTTAAAGCTTGCTTTACTCTATCCTGAAATCATAGGTATGTATAATTTTAATTAAATTGTAGTTATTAGTTACTACAACAAAATAAGAATTATATTATAGTATAGAATTAAATTTAATTCTAGTAATATAATTTTATTGTGTTACAGAGCGTTCACGGATTTATTATACTAGTTAGAGACACTAGATATCTTTATAATTAATATATAATTTTGTAATTATTATTTGTAATTACTTTTTTCGAATAATTTATTACGTTGTTGAGTTTTTCATTTATTAAATAATTCATAGATATCAGAGATAATCAGTTATACCAGAGATTTTTATTAAATTCTAAATCACAAACAATAAATTCGATTCATAGTAATTAAATGCGTTAAAAATTAGGAGAAAAAATATTAAATTTAGGTTGTATAGTTAAATGCGTAAAAGCCATATGAAGGTCATTTGAACCTTTTTATATAAAATAATCCATTAATTGAAACTTAACATTCTTTAATAAAAAAGTAATAACTGATGGGAAATATTGATTTGTTGTGTCATATTGACTTGATATTAAATATTAGTTTGGAAGATATTTTAGTTAATAAAATCTATCGCATAAAGTACAAGGAAACGCAGAGATAGTGTTTTTGAAAGATAAAGTAACAGCGAGCAGAGACAGAAAAGAAATGAGAAAAAAAATGTAGTCGCCCGTTCCAAGTAAGCAAAATACTGTCCCAATTAAGCAAAGAAGACAAAAGCTATTTGATTAGATTTTCTTCCTTGAATTTTATCCCAAGTTATAAGATTAACTGATGACCCGAGTAAGTAGAATAATATGTACTTTTTTATACCTTTGTAGATGCTATGTCTTTTATTGTCTTCTTTCGGCAGTCATTGAAAATTGTTTTCTGTGGAGCTGTATTGTTATATTTGCTCATTAACTGATTATAAAATGCAGATGCTTCCTGTGAAACGTATCCATAATCGTCTTCATCCGGTTGAGATGGTCCTAAAAGCAAACAACATTTACAACAATTACAACAACTATATTTCTGTATGTTATTCGTTTAGTTATATCTTATGAAATATTCAATCTTTTTGGTCTTCAATTTTTTTACGATACGTACTAATTATTTTCAATTATATATATTTTATTATATATTTTAATAAATTTAATTTGTTAAGAGTAATTTCTCGTTTTTCCATAAATAAATTATATTTTTCATTACATTTAAAAAATTTGAAAATTCAATTCTTAATTAAAATTTTATTACAATTTTTTTGATTTTATTACATTATTTATTATTTTATGCAAGCAACTTTCTCAGTATATTCCTATGTGTACAATCAAACAAGATAAATATAAATCATGCTCTATTGTAATAAAAATTCAAAACACAAGGAAAAAAATAATTTGGCTTCCTATATTGTCTTCAATTTCAATAACAGTTTACTATTTACTGTTTTGAAGTTACTTACAGCATAGATAACTTTAAAGGAAAAAGATGAAAAGTTGATTGGTAAAATGAAATGAAAAATGAAATAAAATTAAAATGTGCTTTACAATAAATTAACAATAAATTATGGTAATAGATAGGTAATAAATAACTTTTTATCGTTATCAGTTTCATATTAGTGGGAATGCTAAATATCCTAAAATAAAGTACTAATGATTGATAAAGATGATAAAGTAGTAATGATTATGTCAACTTATTCTTCTCTCATATCATAGTAATCGCAAATCTGTCAGTATTCCCTCTGTATTTCAAATTCATATTATGATTTCCTTTCGTGTGAATTATTTGAAATTAAAAGATAAAACAGATATCACGTGTGTGAAATTGTGATCACGTGCATACACAATAAAGACTTATTATAATGCAGTTATTAAAAATGCAAAAAGTTAGTAGAGATCCAGTTTCCTCAGTAATATTTATAACTCTTTGCGATCCAGCTATAGTATATTCCACAATACAACAGACAATGTTTGTTGTAAGCAAAAAAGATTCATTGATAAACATATGGATATGTAGTCTAAACAGTTTCACTACGACAAATTGTCCAAGCAGACTAGCCATTGGATCTACTAGAAGAAACTCGTTGTCCAATCACATTGGACTTAAGACCTCAAAGAAATAATATGCATTAGCAATATTATCATTTATACACATACAATCACTTTATACACATACACACAGAGTGATCCATTTTAATCAATAAATGCTTTTATCTGCAGAATTATTTGAAAAAAAAATGATTAATTTGGGAGAGATATTTTAATCTTAAGTATCTAATTTCTATAAAATTTACAATAATCTATAAAATCTGTAATTTATCGAAAAACAAAGTTTTTCATTAATATGAAAAACAAAGAAAGATAGGAAGTATTCAGGTGTTCATACTGTCCTTGTCTTTTATGCATAGATTCATAAAATCAAAATTTTAAAAAATTTCCAAAATTTATGGTTTTTTGACACAGGTCAGTATTCTTTTATGACAAATGATCACTTAATGATCACAAACAATGCTTAAAAAATCATATAATTCCATTTAAAAAACTAAAGTAAAAAAACTAAAGTCTCACATGTTTTTCATGCGTACAGCTATAAACAAACTACACTGGATTATTTTCTTCAAAACAGAGCAATTTGTATGAAATATTATTTCAAATAATAATTTCACAGTTAATTACATTTGTTGATTAAAATCGGTTACTTTATATATGATAATATCAGATTTGATGCCAAATTTTATCAATATATTCTACGAGTTTAATAAATAAGAAAAAAATGTTATATAAACATAGGTCGTTTAACGCTTTCTTAAAAGATTACAACAAAAATACGGAATTGGAAAGTAATAATGACAAACGCGGTTACTGTATGTATAGAAAGCTTTCAAAGAAAAATACATGTATAAACTGATGAATAAAAAATTAATGATTCATTCGCTGATGAAAATACAAATAATCATTTTGAAATGGAATATTAATTTCATCCACGAGTTCAGTATTAAAGTTAGTACTCATTAAATTAATATTAATTTAATGATTGCAGATGGTAAACAGAAACTCATAAAACTACATGCAGATATTGGTTAATTGTTCTCCTCTAATGTTTTTAATAATTTTTCTCTCAATTTTTTTTCTAATATTTAATAATTTTTTAAAATATTAACAAACAATCTATCTTAAAATATTAATAAAACAACCTATCTTTTTCTTACTTAGAACCACAGAATATATTAATAAAGCAACCTTGAACTTGGAACACCCTGTATGTATAAGATCCAGAATTTAAATGAGAACATCTGCGTTATTATATTTATATTTATATATTTTATACGCAGAGCGTTATTTTTGTAATATTTTAAAGTATAAAAAATGAATGACCTTAGTAATTGTTTTATTCCAATCATTTAAAAAAAACATTAAAATTTACTATTATCGAGTTATTACTCGTTCAAGAATCTGTTGAGATCGGTTAGTCATTATATTCATCAATTAATTATTAGTGTTTCATGATATTTTGAGTTACATTATGTAGTTATTGACTTTTAATCATTACATTAGTTAGAATTATATTGATCACATTAATTGAACATTTAACGCGTATAGAAGAAAATAGATGTATCGTTTTCATTTACAATGAAAATCGACAATGTTCGAAGATTTTCAAATCGTATTTATCCTTGACTAGGTGTATTTTCTGTAATAATAGAAAAGTTTAAATAAATATTATAACGTGAACGTACTTTCTCGTATAAATCGATAAGCAAATAATAATAAATAAATATTAATAAATAAATAAATAATAAATAAATAAAAATTTATTAGGAAACATTAATGTAAATTTTAATGTAAATTTTTACAGATTAAATAAATGTAATAGAACAGATATATTGAATTTTATTTTTTATGCTCTAAGATATCCAAATAATATTCTATTTAAAAAAAAATTGAGGATCTCGAAATATTACAGAAATGACCTTGACGAAAAATTCATTGCACTATCATCAGATGTACCCCCCCCCCTCCCACAGGCACACACATGAAATAGTGCAACTTCATCTCGAATTTTTAACAAAAAACCAAAAATTGTGCATTTATTTAGATGCTTCCATTAAAATGATATATATAGAGTAATCGGCTCTAATTTATAAATGTAAATTATTGATAAACTATCAATAACATAAAATTTACAGATCATCCTATTAACAATTACATAAAATGAAAAATACTCCAGCAAAATGTACATTGTACAATAGACTCCGACTCCCAAATTATAGTATACACATTGGATTAGTTAAATAGTATCATCTAAATGTCTCCACTATTTTTTATTAAACTTCTGAAGACAAAGTTGCACTATTTGAAGAGACAAATGTAATGTTAGAAATATTTTTTTTTAATGATCATTTCTTTAAAAGATCTCAAATTTTTCATTATTTTTTTTTATGATTAATCTATAGATATAGATTCTCTTATTAGAATAAAAATAAAGAATAAAAAGAAAAATAAATATATATTAATCATAAAAAAAATATTTCCAGCATTACATTTATCTTTCAAAATAGGGCAACTTTATCAGAAATTTAACAAAAAATAATAGAAACGTGATATCATTTAACTGATCCATCTTGTGACTTACAAAAGATAAGATGTAAATTAAACGTCAAAATATTTTGAAGTCAAACAATAAGAAAAAACATGAACTATGCTCAGGCAAAAAAAGGCAATATAGAAGAGCTAATGTTAATGTAACACTCAATGAATTGTTTCACAAATTTGAAACATCAACTGACTGATGAATTATAATAATATTCTTATTAATTTGCAAATATTTCATAAGAACAAAGCACATAATTGCATTTACAACAAAAATGAAAAGAGCAAATAAAAATTTCTCCCATTAAACCAAAAAATAGACATATATACTTCCATTTTCAAAAACTGTTTTAAAAAAGCTATCAAAAAAATAGTTACGGTAATTCAATAAAATTACCAGGGTACAATGAAAATTTGCACAAGTTGTTCTAATACGCCACAAATCTTTAACTGAAGTAACAAACTGATTACAAATTTTATTAAAACTATTTAAAAAACTACTAATGAAATAATTTCTTGCAACTTGAATTGCAAGAGAACTATTCTACAATTGAAAAATTTATCAAATAATTAACGACATTGAGAAAAGTTTTGAAGAATACAAAATATGTTCTGCTATCTTTATAGATATAAGTCAAACCTTCAACAGAGATTAGCATATGATTTTACTACATAAAATTAAACAAAATTAATACTTAACAAAATCTTCTATACAACTACTATAATTAATTGAAATTCTATTTAAACAAAATATAAAATAAAATGACAGTTTTTCTAAAATATATCTTTTTACAGATATAAAAAATACACTAGATGTTGTCAAATTTTTACAATCTCATATGATGGTAAAAATATATTATAAGCTATATACAGATTATACTGCAATTTTAACATTGCATAAAGATTTCTCAGAAACAAAACTTTTATAAGAATTCTTGAGTAAGACAACTGAACAGACTAAAAAATAAAAAATTAAAATCAATGTAAAACCAATTTATATTACTTTTACTATAAAATGTATTATGACTATGTTTATTATTTATTATATTTATTATCGAAACAGTGTAAAATATGTTAATGTACATTTGAACAAGATTTAAACATGGAAAAAAGATAAGAACAAATAAAAAAAACTATACTAGATATTAAGACTTAAATCTATACTTTCAGTACGAAATAGAATGCATGGATAATATTCAACTATAGAATTGTGTCAAAAAAGTAGTATCTAAAGGTTTTAAGGACAATAGCAGCTGTCCCAAGGTATATAAAACTCTTTATAAAAATCTTATAAATTAGAAGATTCATAATATTATATAAAAACAAATTTTAAAAAAATTTAATGCAAGTTCCAGAGATCAAAAAACTAAAAAAAGTGAAGTCATTTAACCTATTGAAAACAAAATGGAAATAGTACTGAGTATTGCCCGCATTCAAATAAAATTTATATGTATCAAATTTGTTGGCTAGTTCAATAAAGTTATAAATGTAATATACATAATATAATAAAAAAATTATAATTTTTCAATAAAATCTTAAACAATGATATGTAACATCTTTTGCTCAATTTTATCCATAGAATACACTGACATAATTTGGCTGTTAAAAACCTGAGTTACCTTATATAATAGCATACAAAATCAAATTTTTGACCAAAATAATTTGACCAAAAATAATAATCAATTTGAAGTCTGTATCCCATAGACTACTCTAGAATTATAGTTACTCTGACCTTAATTGCTTGGTATCCTCTCCCACGTAAATCCACAAAATCTCACTGCCCTGTTGGACGGTGGAAAAGTAAGAAGGTCGCGTTGATTGCATATATTCATACTCAATTACCTGTGGGCAAAAATACTGCCCATTATGAATACAGACTGATACTTTTAAATACTCATTAATATGGAGATCATTGATCATACAGAAGATTGCATTACTTTTTGCAGAACTTATATAGTAGCTTAGATACCCTTCTCTCAATGCATTTACTCAAATTTACTGATACAACTTTATAATGACAATTACAATAAAACAAAAAAAAATTGAAGACTTAAATTCCTACCTACAACACATAAATTATTTACATTTTAAATAATAAATTACTTATAATTATAACATAATATTTGTGTTAAATATAAACAATATTATAAATTAAATATTACAAATCTATACTAATTAGTATAATGTATTAAATACAAATATAATAAAGAAAAATATATTAATTTTTCTACTTTACATTATCTATGAAAAAAAAAAAACATTCACTGAGACTTATTTAAATTAATATATTATGTTAAACACAAAATATAATAATGCGACATAATAAAATGTACAATAAAAGTTAATATTATGTGCTTTGATCATTAAATAATATATCCAAATTTTTTTTTCTTTGAAATCGTACAACTTATATGTTCCAAAGTTTAAATAAAGTTTGTAAAGATTTACGTTTCCAAGAATAAATTTTTCATTACAACTAGTATATTAATTTCTTTTTAACTAAATTCTAAGAATCTTCATTTCTAATTTTTCAAATTGTATGTTTTTTTTACTTATATAATAATATTTCATACCTGCCATTGTAACAGCTGTGTTCTCATTGTCAATTGCATCTGGCAATACGGATTTATTTGCAGCTTTACATACTTTTAAATGTTTATTTATTCGACTTTGGGCCTTATGATCACGAAGTGCTAATAAATTCTAAATAAAATAAGAACAATAACAAAATATTAGAGATTTATAAACATACTGAATAATTAGAAATTAATTACAATTGTATGAAAGTTTAATACCTCTCGTTTTTTCTTTTCTTCTAACGCCTTCTGTCGTTCTTCTTCTTCCTTCCGAGCTAGAAATTTTTTTATATTTTCCGAAAGTGATTTGTTTTGCTTGCTTGACTTTTTGGGTGGAGAGAATTTTGTTTGATAGCAAGCAATTGGCTAGAAAAGATAACGTATAATTTTACTAAAAATTATGAAATCATGAAATTCAGAAAGATTAAAAATATAATAACCTGCTTATTATTTTCATTTTTCTGTGCCACACTCAATAAAGTTCCAAAATCCATTTTAATAATGAAATGAAAAGATACACTAAATTAAAAATGTTTTTTCACGCTCACGTATTCAATTCACACTTCATTGTACTTATTTGAATTTATTGTTCGATTGTAAAATAGATCACTCGAGCTACAGTACACAACTAACCAGACGTTCTACCATGTACTAGAAACTGAAGACTAACTTAAAATAAGTTAGATGTAAAATGCGTAGCTAAAACAACACTACTTTAATCTGTAGATGGCATCACAGTATTGGCATTTGTAGCGACATCTATTCCCGCTCAGCCGTCTCGTCGAAGGGTACATTACCGATAAATTTACGGCGCCAACTGTATGACTCGATAACTCGATAACAAGAAATTATGTAAAATGATCAGTCTTTTAATTAAATTACCAAGGAATTATTTAACAAGTGTCAAGGAAACGTAACAAATTATCGAGGATATATGTAATAGTTGTTAAAGAGTACATGGGTCTATAGGTATACCTCGTCTGTGACCATGTATTTTTTCGGCCATGATAATAAAGTCCTAGGACCTTACCATTTTCGATTTTGCGATCACAGCACTATTAGTGACAAAAATTAAAATTTAAAAAATATGAACAATGTTGCTAGATCCATTTTGAGAATTATTTATTGAATTGAATGGTACCCTATCGATGAAAAAATATAAACAGTGAATTTAAAACAGCGACTAGTAGAAATTGGGGTGAAAAATTTAGTATATAATTGATTATTAACATCTATTTAAAAGTATTAGAAAAAATTGATTGAAATATGATATTTTTAAGAACAATATAATTAGATATGACGTTTTCTAATTTACAAATTTGTAAGTTCACAACCTGAATGAATTATCTTTATTCCGTAAACTTGATTTTATGAAAGTTTGAACTTATCAATAAAATATTTCTGTAAATATAGTTTGTAATAAAGAAGCACATTATGTGTTGTAAATTATTTCTTGAAAAATTTCGAAATTTTGAAGTCTAATTTATTTTTTTAAAAAGTCTATTTGACATTTTAATATTTAGTAAAAGATTACACATTTGCGAATGTAAGTAATTGCATACTCGATGAAAAATTGTCGTTTTCTAAACTGTCATAGCTTTATGAAAACAAATATATGACAAATATTCTCATTTTAAAATATGAAGCATTTATTTTAATAATTCTAACTATAAGTCCGTTTTTTTCAAAGATGATTTTACATCATACAATGAAAACTAATGAAAAACTAATGATATTTTTCTTTTTAACATGTATTGAATGTACTTCTTTTTATTGCATTTGACGTAATCGAAACGTTTTCCTCTTTCGTATTTCGTTATGTATCTGTTGTAATGATGTAGTAGAAATCTGGAATGGAGGTAAAATAAGAAAAGGTTTTGGCTATTCAGCTTGCATCACTATTTTGTTGTGACATAAACTGAAGTAATGTGAAAGCAATGACTAAGGACCAAAGTTTTTGCAGAATTTAGCCACATGACCCTCTTCCCTGCATAAGAAAGAGACTACTTTTCTGCTGATAGATATATCCATATAAGATGTATCATCTTAATTTATTTGGATGGATTCATCTACGTTTGAAATGTCTTTGAATTCAATACACATCTGACAATAAAAGCTCAAGATATATGCGTATCTCGGATTTAAACCTGAATTTTTCTAATGAAGATGAAGATCTGAGAGATGAATCTAATATTTCATCTAGCAAGCTTTTTAAGAATGACTAATTGTGGAATTATATGGTACACATTGGATAATATTAATTGTTTCAATTTAAAAACGATAGGTTGAATTTTCAGGAAGTTAGATTTAATCTTTACTTGCGTATGATTTTCAGTTATCCTATCAAACAAGTGCTTACTATTCCAGTATGAGCAAACTTGACCTTGAAATATTCTGAATATAAATCTGATGTTCAACAGTTTGATAAGTTCGATAATTTCAACAATATAATTCTTGAATTAAAATATCTTCGATGAAGTTTGATATGATTGCTTGTTCATGTATATGGAATTGTAATTACTGAGCAGCTTGAATGTATGAGGTCTTGGGAGAAATATTCTGAAAAAGGATATCCACGGTTTAAGGTTAAATATGTTGAGGTTAAGTGCCCCTGTAATCATAAAAGGACGACAGTGTCCTTTTCTAAGTAAATTGGTGATTAACTAGAACATTTTACTTTCGACAAGGCACAAAGAAACACACAGAGCATTTTTATAGCATTTTTATAGCATTTCTCGCCTGGACTATTATATTTAATGATGATGAAAATTTGAAAATCCTTATTAATACATTTTGAAACGTAAATGGAACATACAACGAAAGCTAAGAGTCTTAAAAGGGCAACCCAACTTCAACATTTGATAAATTATTCTTCCTGATTAGAATTTTTTTGTAATTTCTGAAAACTGTCACATCTCGCACATACATTAACAAAAGATTACAGCGCCACTACACGGTGAAAAACACAATACACTTCTTACGATTCTCGAATGTAATCGAGACATTTGTCACGATCGACTTTTAAGCGGGAAGCATGGCGGAAAGTAGCACATCTCATCCCTAAGGAGGAAGTGTTATCCAAAAATATCATCCAGAAAGAAGTGTCATTCAGATATTAGATGTAAAAATCAATAGTTGTTAGATTTGTGCTTGTATTATGAATTTTTAAGATAGAACTTGCATTTTTGGCTTCAACTTAAGGTAAGATTTAACCAAACAATTATTGCACACAATTGTCAACAATTAATAAAAAATAATAGCATATAAACATTTAAACAGATACCAGGCTAAAAGTTATTTATACTTTTATATCAAAATTGAAATTCAATTCTAACCAGTACAAATGTAATTGATATATGTGTAACAATGAGGTAATGTAACAAGGATACAATACTTGTGTATGTACTGATGTATATGTATACACGTGCGCGCGCGTATTTTATTATATGCTTTTACACACAAACTTCTATTACAAAATTTTCTACTTATTTGTTGTGTCTTTAACTTCATGCTGCATAATTCTAATACTAAATTCAACAATAATTTATTAAGGTCGTACGTATTTAATGGCTTAAATAATAATTCTACTGCGTAATAAAATTTCTCAAGTTTTAATTGTTTTTAATTGTTCATCAACAGTGTGAATATTTTCGATCTCTTTTAAGAATTGCTCACGAATTTTGTACATTTGATTTAGACCAGAGTTCTTTATTTTTTATTTCAAATTATTATTTCGTGTAACACAGGCGATTACAGCGCCACTACACGGTGACATACGCAATACACTTCCTACGATTCTCGAAAGTAATCGATATTTCTCACGATCGACTTCGAAGCGGGAAACATGGCGGAAAGGAGCACACCTCACCTGTAAAGAAGGAAGTGTAATTCAAAAAAATCATCCGGAAAGAAGTGTCATCTAGACGTGCTGAGATAAAAATATAAATCAATAGTTGTTAGATTTTTGTTTGTGTTATGAATTTTTAAGATAAAACGTGCATTGCGATTACGAAATTTTGAAGTAAAATTTTTAAGATTCAAGATCGTAAGTAGTTTTATATACTGTATCTCAATTTATTCAATTTTTCAAATTTGACAATAAAATATACGTTTGACGTTTGTTACAGACGCTTCACAGCATCAATTTTTTTGCATTTTTTGGGAATAATCCAACGGTGGCTCTAAAATCAAGAATGTAAGAATCTTTCATTATCTTCAACGTAAAGTTTTGCTTCGCTTTTAAATATAAATTCTAATGTTTAATGTTCTGTTACAGATCTTCTACAGTCTCCACTGTCTCTAATTCTGCAAGAATCTTATGATGCTTCGAAAGCTAAAAATGTAAGTATTTTAGTATGTTGTATTCAAATTTTATTTTCTACAGGTCTTTTTCTATTGTTGAATGTAAAATTATAATTATAAAATACAAACATTTCAAACTATTCCAATTTTTATCATTAAAATTTAAATTTTCACAAATAACACTGTGTCTTTAGAAAGAAAATGTTTTATGTTTTTTAAGAAATTTTTCACGGCGTTCACTTCTTAACAATTAGAATATATACATTTATAGTAATTTATAGTAATTACTTATAATAATTAAAGTACTTTCGATATAGATGCTTGCAAAAGTAAAACATCCATATGAATATTCACATGAATAGATAAACTATAAATATTTATAAATAATTAAATTATTAAAACGATTTCGTTTGAGCATTTAGTAGATAGTAGAGAAAACGAATATCCTCCGACCTCGTTCCTACGAAAGATGCAGTTACTTATACTGGTAATTTATTTTGTTATAATAACTAATTATTTTAAATTTAATCTTCTCTTTTATAATAGTACTAAATCATTTAGTTACTTGTTTTATAATTGTGAACTTCAGTAGAATTTGAACTATAATATAATT